TAATCCATACTGAAGGCTGTAGTCTTTGATCTTCATCAGTAAGTGCTTCAAGTCCTCTTCACTTTCAGCAAGCAAGGTTGTGTCATCTGTATACCATGGGTTGTTAATGAGTCTTCCTCCAATCCTGATGCCCCGATCTTCTTCATACAGTTCAGCTTCTCGGATTATTTGCTCAGCATACACATTGAATATGTATGGTGAAAGGATACAACCCCGATGCACACCTTTCCTGACTTTAAACAGATGTATAATATTCTATTATATAGCTGCACCATAATTTACTCAATCCCCCAATGAAAGACATTTAGGTTGTTTCCAGTTTGTTCCCATCTTAACCAGTGGTATAATGAACATTCTTATCATAATATATAACCCTGCATATTTGTGCAAGTATATTTTCAAAATATTTTTCTAGCTATAGAATTTATGGATTAAAGAGAATGTACACTCAAAATTTTGATACTGCCAGATTATCCTCTAAAAATCTTACATCTGTCTACATTCCTGCCAAGAGTGTATGCAGTGCCTGCTTCCCCATGTTGTCGTTGTTACTAGGTGCCATCAAGTCAGTTCTGACTCACAGTGACCCTACATACAACAGAACGAAACACTGCCCGGTCCTGCGCCATCCTCCCAGTCATTGTTATGCATGAGCCCATTGTTGCAGCCACTGTGTCAGTCCATCTCGTTGAGGGTCTTACTCTTTTTCGCTGACCCTCTACTTTACTAAGCATGATGTCCTTCCCCATACCCTTGCCTATAATGGGTTTATAAGTGTTACCAATCTGATAAGTGAAAAAACGGTATCTCACCGTTGCATTTCTTTAGTTATGAGTGAGGTTGTACCTCACATGGACATGTTCTTATCACTAGAGAACTTTGAGTATATTTTAAAGTCTATTTACTCAAATCTTTATTTTTCAAATGCTGATATTAAATATAACTTTTATAATTTCTAAAAATACGTAACAATTTAGGTGCTTTAAAACATTTTTCTAAATTATAATGAAAACCAACTGTTTCAACAATAATAAAACCTGCAGATACTAACGGAAATAGGATATAGTACAAATAGTACCTTCATCATAGTAAAAGAGTTTCATGGTCAAACAAACATCATTAGGTAGAGGTCCCAGATTCTGCATTAGAACATAAATCTTGCGAATGAGGAGAATACTTGCTTTCTTGGTGTCAGCAGATGACATGCTAGATTTGTTGTTTTGGTTTTTACTACAAGAGAATCACACAATTTCTTTTATGAAACCTGTTGCTTCTAATATCATAACTTCACATTTTACTATTTGAGATCTTATTTCTTTAACAGCATTACATTATTAAGTTGAAAAGTTACCATAAAAATGTGTTTTAATGTCACTATTATAATTTTTTAAAACATCAATGTTAATATATTATAAACTAATAGCTCAATTTTACATAAATTAAACTAATATACATTTTATATAAGGTGTTAAAGGAAACAAATGATGGATGGTAATTATATTTCTAATCATTCAAGTATATATAGTTTCCTACTCTGGCTCTGTTTCCACAATTAAAATAGTATATAATTAACTACTCCAAATGTATTTTATATGCCTTGATAGTTAATTGAGAATGTGTGAGAAGTTTTAAATTAATCCTGAAGTTTGGCTATATAGTATTAATATGAGTAAGTGGTAGTCTGTAATGCAAAAAGAAACTATAGAACAATACCTTATGAAGTCCATTACTGGTCCATTACTGGTGTACTTGAATTTAAATTGGTAACATTCTGAAATTGTCTTAAATATAAAACATTGCAGTTATGCATCTAATATACAGTACTGGTTGCCAAATTGCTATGTATCACTTTTGTGTGACTCAAAATTTATTTGATCATTTTTTTCTGCCATGTTACTCCATTGGTCCATTGAGGCTTTCATGTCCTAATAGTTGATTCCCACGGTCTGGGCTTTTGGGCTCATCTTGGAGGGATATGTATTCCCCTACTCACTGTAATGTATGTTATGTATATTACTTGGAAGGAACTTCTTAGCAGGCAAATAAGGGAGGCAGCAATGCCTTAGCAGAGTGGCTAAGCACAGGGCTTAAATCCTTGCTATACTAGAATCACAGGAAAGTCATTTAAGCCTTTTAAGTCTCGGTTTCTCCAACTAATAAAAGGGATTGAAAACAGTTCTATCTCACTGGTGGTTGTGAATATTTATCAAACACACACTGTAAGCATTCAATAAGTGTTATTTTTATTAATGCATCAGTAAGGTTGCTCTCTTACTCAAAGGAAAACGTACAACTATAAAACACTTGAAAATAAATGAATATTTTCTGAACAACTGGTTAAGTCATAGCCTTTACCCAAATGATCAGCTTTGTCAACATGGACATATACTAAGCACTGATCACATGTATAGGTATCAGAGAAGACACATTTCCAGCTCTCCTAAAGCTCTAACATTTTTATTGCTTTCTTTGCATTTTAATGCTTACACAGGGATAGGGATTAGCTCTCTTTCTTTTTTAAAAAATCAGTTTGAATCTGCTTCTCTATGATTGAATGAAACACTATATTGTACCAGCTAGAGTGTAACGGCTAACCACCCAGATCATGAACTAGCTAGCCTTCCTAGGTTCAAGTCCTGGTTCTGCCATTTCTGCCACTGTGACCCTAGGCAAGTTACCTTGTAGTTAGGTTTTCTTATCTGTAAAGTGGAAATGATAACAGTAGTAACCATATGGAGGCTGTAGTGAACAAATGAGCTAATGCACACAAAGCACCAAAGACAAGAGCCTAGCATGTGGCTGGCACGAACACATCTTTCCTCCTTGTCTTTTATCTTCTGGTTTCCCCTTTCATTTTCTGTCCTCCTGTCTTTCCCTTAATTATCAGATGAACAGGTGGGTATGACTGCATTGGGACAGATAGTCAGAATTTAAAGATGAGTTTCTTATTTTCCTCAAACTCAAGCCCTTTCATAATTCTACAGAAGGAATATTGTAAAGAACCAGAAATCAGGAGATTTAGGTTATTTCTAACAGTTTCTAGCTTTGTGGCCTATAATCAACCACATACTGTCTCTTGTAGTAAATTTATTAATCTGCCTTATCTCAGAAGTTTTTATGAGGTTCAAATGTACAAATAGTCATGAAAGTGCATTGGTTAAAGCACAATTAAAAACATAAGATATTATAGTTTTATATTATTTTTAGACATTAGAGGCATTATGTCTCATTACAAACTCAAGCACACCTACCTGAGGGTCTTCTGGGTTGGTATATACCTATTTAAAAATAATTTACAATTGAGTTATTTAAGGCTATGTATTCAAGAAGAATTAAATCAGATTGTTAGACTAAATTATTAAGTGAACTCAGCAAAGCAAAGCAGAACAAAGCAAAACAAAATGACAACCCCTTGAAATATTAGTTTGTTACTTTTTTTCTAGTAAATAGATCAGTTGTTTGAATAAATCGACATAATCTATTGATGGTTTCAGTGTTATTTAATTAAGCAAGGCCGAATTTGACAGTCTTTATAGAAAAAAAGAACATATTATTTTAAAATACTTACAGCTAGAACAACCATCCTTAGCTGAAATACAACAAAGAACAAAAATATTACTTGTATTTTATAAAACATTTTTTCATGATAGATCATAAGAATTTTTTGCCCTATTTCAACATTTATTCCTAATAAGAAATAATTATTACAGAAGATAGGCTTCATATCATGTACACAAGGCTATAGTTTAGATGTTTCCTTATTCCCTAATTGACTAAGCAAACAGGTACATTACAAGCAATTAAAAGGAAAATATACATTGTAAAATAACACTTTAAACCTTACCAATGTGAAAACAGGTTTGGAAAAGAGAAAAAAGTAGAGAGTTCATGATCCTTAGCACTTAAGAAAGGAAAAAGGCTTTTGGAGACCTTCTAACCAGGAAATCATTCGCTCAAATGATCTGCCAAAAATTGAAGTCATCCCTGATTCTAATCTTTTCCTTACACTCCACAACCAATCCATCAACAAGTTGAATAAGTTCTACTGGCTAATCTGTCCTGAATCCATTCATTTTTCTCTCTCACTGCCATTCCTATCTCAGCCACGGTTACTTCTCACAAGGACTGAAGTAATGGCCTAAGTGCTACGCCCCTTACTTCCCATCTTATTCCCCTTCTACACTAGATTCTCTAAATAGTAGTCAGAGTGATTTTAAAAACTTTTAAATACAAATAAAATGTTGTTACATCTCTACTTAAAAACTTAAAATAGATGTTCTTTACACCTCAAAGAAAATCCTTACCTACCCAGTCCTGAATATTCTGGCCCCGCCTATGTCTCTAGGCCCCCTTCCCTGCTGCTCGTTGCACTCCTGTCAGATTGGCCTTCTTATAGTTCCTTGAACTCTCCAAATCCCCTCCAAGTCTTTGCTTTTGTCTGGCTGGTTTCTTCTTACTCAGGTCCAGCTTAAACGTCACCGCCTCAGAGAAGCTCTCCTAACAGTTCCATCTTAAGTTAGCCCCACCTCTCCATTTACCTCACACTTTTTCTAAAAATTTTAATGGCATTTAACACTATTGGGAACTATCTGATGACTTGTTTTATGGACTGTTTTCCCACTGTAGCAGGGACCCTTTTTGTCTTGTTGACCACTGCTAGCTTACCCAGCTCCTACCTAGAATATGTACTTAGCACACAGCAAGCCCTCAGCGTTTACTGTATGCCTTAATGAGGGAGTGTGGGGACCATCGATAAAAACTTACCCTCTTCACAATTTTGCCTAGGGCTGGACTTCTTTATATACATTGATAGAAAAGTGTACTAAGTATGCAAAAAGGTTTTTAGTCTATAGTAAAACCTCATGAGTTAAAATTTCACTAATTCAGAATTTGTGAAATTTTAACTCATGAGGTTTTACTATATGGAAATTTGGAAACCCTGGTGGCGTAGTGGTTAAGAGCCATGGCTGCTAACCAAAATGTTGGCAGTTCCGATCCACCAGGCGCTCCCTGGAAACTATGGGGCAGTTCTACTCTATCCTACAGGGTTGCTAGGAGTTGGAATCGACTCAACGGCAACGGGTTTGGTTTTTGTTTTTCTTTATATGGAAATTTATTTTTGAATTCTTATGAAGAAATAAATTAATAGTATAAACAAGATTGTAGAAGGCAATGTGAAACTAAGTGAATAAATAGTTCAAAAGACTTTTTAAATCATTAATTTTTGTAAGCCAATAGGTGTTATCAATACAAATGAGTCTTAAACAATCAAAACTGATTTGGCAAAATGGATTTAATATCAAATCCATTAGCTTTAAATGAGTTAATACTGGTTTTTAAAATATTCAAGTGTTCAGACTTTTTTAGTGACTTAGACTGGCCTCTGCCCAAGTGAGTTTAATGTTTTACTACAAGGTAGTTGCTATTAGAAATGCCAAAAAGAAAATTTAAAAACTTACATATTTTTTCTGTAAAGCATCATAGCATCCTAGCATCCTTAAAAAAAAAAAAATCAAGATTTTCTTTTTAGACTAAATATATTTCCAGAAAATAAAGTTCTTTTCACAAACATCCATATTACCTCATTACCAAATAATACAGGGCAAATCTGCTGCAAAGGACCTCTTTAAAGCGTCAAAAAGGAAAGATGTCACTTTGAGGACTAAGGTGTGCCTGACCCAAACCATGGTATTTTCAATTGCCTCATATGCATGCGAAAGCTGGACAATAAATAAGGAAGACCAAAGAAGAACTGACACTTTCGAATTGTGGTGTTGGCAAAGAATATTGAATATACCATGGACTGTGGAAGAACAAACAAATCTGTCTAGGAAGGAGTACAGCCAGAATGCTCCTTAGAAGCAAGGATGGCGAGGCTTCGTCTTATATAATTTGGACACATTATCAGGAGGGACCAGTCCCTGGAGAAGGACATGATGCTTGGTAAAGTAGAAGGTCAGCGAAATAGAGGAAGACCCTCAACGAGATGGATTGACACAGTGGCTGCAACCATGGGCTCAAACACAGCAAGGATTGTGAGGATGGCGCAGGACTGGGCAGTTGTACTTAGGGTCTCTATGAGCTGCAATCGACTCAACAGCACCTAACAACATTGACAAAATGATACAAACATTTCTTATCAGAGTTCTCTTCTTCTTAACTAGATGGAAACACACACACACAGTGTGGCAGAGATATAAACTGTTGCTAGGGAAACATAAAACAGCTGACAGCTATTTGTGGGGAGCACTGATGGGAAAATTGAGGCTGAAAACACTGTGCTAACATGGGTATGACAAAAAGGAAAAATTTAATGCAAAAATTCAAAGATCTGCAATACTGGTGTTTAAAATCCAGTGTTAAAGGAGGAATCACTAAAATTGGGTTAAACACTGGAAGATATCCAAGGTACAAAAAATATGATTTAAGAAAAAAAAAAATTTTCTATCTTTGGGTGTTGTTTTACTTACCACTTCACTAACTGTGTAGCTCCTGGACAATTTTTATCTTCTCTCAGAATTTTGACACAAAGATCTAAACACAAAAATGATGATATAAAGATCACCTTAAGACCAGTACTTAAGAACAGTAACAACTAGAAATTTTAAATGAGGATTATTTTGTTCAGCTGGATACTATATTATTAACAGCAGTGAACTTCCAGATGATTGGTATTGGTAATATAAAGGAAGAAAGGATCCATGGAAAGAAATAGTGTTTTATTCTTATTATACAATGGTATCATAATGATTAAGACTCATGTTGATGGATAGAAAAAAATTTCATTTTTAAAAGCTATGGAATACATAAAAATAGATATAATGCTTTCATGCCATCATTATCCCAAAGTCTAAGAATATTTGTTATGGACCCTTATCCCATTAAAATATTTGTAAAGGGCCAAGAAGTTAACTGGCTCTCAAAGACAAAGAACGCTCGCTGCAAAGAAGGAACCCGTAACACAGTGGAAAGGACTGAGAGGATCGCTCAGCCTCAGGTTCTTTATCTGAAAAATAGGGATGACAGCATCTGCCACACAGGACTGTACTATGAATGCACAAGATTCCATGCGTAACGTGCTCACCAGAGTGCTCACAGCTGGTGCACAACAGACGGAAGTTATGATGGTAGTATAAACCGGATGGACCTGTGTTATTTTTACTCCCTTAAAACAGCCCAAGAAATACACTATCACTCTACAAAGTTCTGCATAATAGACTGTTTTAATATTTAGTTCATCATTATAAGAGTAATGTCAGGTGAAATTATACTTGAGAAACTGAGGAAAAAATTTGATTAAGTATTTACAAAGTATATTTATTGAATATACTTTTTAAAAGCCACTTATACGTATACACAAAAATTTATACACAAATGTGACATTATTCCCAATAGCCAAAAAGTGGAAACAACTGAAATGTTAATCAACTGATGACTGGATAAGTAAAATGTGGTACATCCATACAGTGGAATATTACTCAGCAAAGAAATGAAGTACTGATACACACTGCAGTGTGGATGAGCCTTGAGTACATTACGCTAAGTGAAAGAAGCCAGTCCCAGAGGACCATATATTGTATGATTCCATTTATATGAAGTGTCTGGAATAGGTAAATCCACAGAGACTGAAAGTCGATTGGTAGTTGCCTAGAACTGGAGGGGTTGGGAGAAGTGGGGAGCGACTTAATTGGTATGGGGTTTCTTTTTGGAGTGATAAAAATGTTCTAAAATTGTACAACTCTGTGAATATACTAAAAAAACATTGATTTATACACTTTCAGTGGGTGAATTGTATGGTATGTGAATTACATCTCAATACAGCTATTATTAGGAGCCCTGGCAGCACAGTGGTTAAAGTGCTGGGTTGCTAACCGAAGCGTTGGCACCCACCAGCCGCTCCGAGGGAGAAAGATGTGGCAGTCTGCTTCCGTAGATTCATAGCCTTGGAAACCCTATGGGGCAGTTCTACTCTGTCCTATAGGGTTGCTATGAGTTGGAATCTACTCCACGGCAACGGGTTTATGGGTTAAAGCGATTATTAAAAAAACAGACTCAAAATCTCGAACACAAACATTATAGTTTTAGAGCAAACAAAAATAAAAACCTTTTAAAAGAAACATTGTCTTACCATCTAGATATCTTGTTCCATAAGCACATTCTGGAAATATTCCTCTCAAATACGTGATACAGGACACTGAAACTGCTAGGAGCCTCTTCACCAACACCAGAGACTGCTGCTCAGTTGATATTTTATTGGGGAATACCAGTGCACTCTACAATTCAGGGCAAATGAAAGCATTTTATTAAAATATGTTAGAAAACTAAAGATTTCCTGAACCTAAAATAGAACCAATTTTGTGTAAGCATGGTACCACCCGAAAGAATCCCTCCCCATAGTGATTAGTAATCTATCTCCAGGAAGTAGGTGAGGCTTCTAAGATAGGAGAGTGTTTTTCCGGTAGCAGCCTAAGTTAACATGCAAAAAGTGCTTGAGAATCTTGTTAAGAATTGCAGGTGAGCTGTGTGTAAACACACAATACATCAGTAGATGACACTGATTTCCTTTTTAGTCACTGAATACGTTTAACACAGGTAACTGTCCTACAAGATCCTGTGCAAAGATGACCATTTTAGCTTTGTCTCATTTTCTAGGAGTGAACTGCTCTGAACAATAATTTCATTAAAGTAACAAAACCTAATTTAGTTGCTCGACCGCACTCAACAACAACTACCATGTAAATAAAATTTGAACCAGCGATGTAACGCAATGCATCAAACATCCAATAGAATTCGTTAATTCAAAATAGTTTAGCAAATATCTTCATTTCTTAGAGCATGGAGTTTCCTGATGTCATTAAACCCTAAAACAGTCGACTCGTAACTTTTGAAATATAAAAATAAAATAGTTGAGACTTTAAGAAACAATAAAATTGCTAAATTAAGGTCTATTACAATGCAAGGAGTCATACCACGGAAGTTCTCTGTAACTGAGCGGTGGCCATCTTTCTGCTGACAGTATTTTCTTTAGTTCAACCTTGGGACACAAATATAAGCTTGTGTTAACTTCAGAAGTTACTTTTATCCCTAACATCCTAGTTTATTACAAGGAAAGTCAGAAAAAATATTCTGTGAATAAATTAGAAAATTTCTGTCTTTAAAAAAGTAGAAGTTTATATTGCTATTCAACTATTTCGAGTAAGTCCTAATTGTACGCCGTTTGCATGCCTCACGTAAACGGGTTATTAAGAATCAAATTTCTCTATTTAGCCTTGGGTGAAACTCAGTGCTTTTTAAAAAGGCACAACCTTCCTTTTCTTAACTTTACGGTATTTAAGTATTGATAACATTTCGCTGGTAGATATTAGAGAATGAACAACTGCCCCGCTAAATTCCTTTAAAATGACCTTTTAATGTTTATTTTTAAAATCTGTAGTTTGAAAATGACCAGATCAGGTAACCCTCCGTCACTGAACTTGAGCCTGGCTCTGGATATAACATATTTTCCCAAGTGCAACAGCCGAAGAAGGCAACGCAAAACGCCGCGACTTTTGGGACCGATTCTCGTTTCCCCTCACGACCCCGGAATCCCGACCCACAGGGGTCGCTGCGAGTCGGCCGACTCCACCGCAAACCTATGGGATTCTGACGTCGGGTTCAGTTATTATGCTTTTTACCCCATTTCATTTTTCCTAATGAGACAATTTAACTAGAAGGGCTCACAGAAGCGTCTATTTCCTGTAAACGTGCTCCATCAACTTATTCTGATGAGACTTGGGCTAGACGCCAGCGTCAAGCTAATCTGAAGAAACTCTTGAGGAAAAAATAGGTAGGTATACATTTTTTCTTCCAAATATTTTGTCATTAAGACATTTAAGAACTTAACCGTAAGCGAGAGGTGACAGAAAAAGAGATTTAAAAAGCAAAGAATAATACGTGTAGACATATATATATATTACGGAACGTCTGAGGACCCGACTCCAGCGACCAGGAAAGCGGCTCGAGGAGGCGCGCGCTTCGCCCGGGGCGCATGCGTCTTCCTTCAACGGCCGGTCGCCCGCGAGGACGCGACAGTGGCCTTTTGACCTCAGTCGAGGTCAACTTTCCCGCCAAGAGCAGCGCAAAGCACGCTGGGAATCCGCAGCGAGGGGCGGCGCGGGCGCCACACGTCACAGCCCGCACGAGCCAGAAACCCACACGGGAAGGTGAAGTCATTGCGTGTGCAAAGCCTTCCCGACCCAGAGAGCTTTTCTGCGGGGACCCAAGTGTTCTCATCAGCCGTTTAATTCATCGTATTAATTTGATTATTTTTTATTTGGTTATTGAATCCGCCACATAATTGCATTCCCACTATATAGTGTCCTGTGTCTGCAGGAAACCACTTGCTTTAGCGGTCTGCTGGTTAGATTTCGCCACTGTATTGTATCTGTGGGGACAATGGATACGTTGGAAACAAAATCCTAAGATCATTTAGAAACAAACTCATAAAATCAGAGCTGGCAGGTACTTAGCTGATTAGTAGTATAAGTTTCTTATTTTACTTAGTTATATATTCCAATAAATTGTGTAAGCAGTGTAAACATAATGATTCATAGATTTGGATGTTTGTATTACCAGTTAAAAAACAGCTACCTCAATTATGAAAAGATTTGCCCAAAGTCATTCAAATCAGAGGAATCAAGATTAGAGACTTGTTGCAGGGTCAGAAATGGTGGAAACTTTGGTCTAATAATTATTTTGCCTTATATTTGGCTCACACTTACAGTTTATAAAGGCGTTTCACATTCACTGTCTCACACGTTGCTTATTGGTCCAGTTTGCCATCAGAACCGACTCGACGGCATCTAACAACGACAACCATCTCGCTGCTACTTTGCTGCTCACAAGAACTTTGCGAGAAAGACAGGGCAGATATTACCCCTACTTTAGCAGTGAGAAAACAGACTCAGGCAAAGCTGGTGTTTCAAGATCACAACTAATTTCAGTGTTGACAGAGGAAGGCCACTAAACCACATTGCCTAATAATGGAAACTTTAAATTTATTTTGAGTCGTTAACAACTATGTTGTTGTCGTCAGGTGTCTTAGAGTCAGTTCCGACTCACAGTGACCCCATGGACGAAAGAATGAAACGCTGCCAGGTCCTGCGCCATCCTCAGGATCATTGTTAGGCTTGAGCCCATTGTTGCAGCCACTGTGTCAGTCCATCTTGTTGAGGCGCTTCCTCTTTTTTGCTGACTGTCTACTTTACCAAGTATGATGATGTCCTTCTCCAGGGCCTGGTCCCTCCTGACAACAAGTCCAAAGTATGTAAGACGTAGTCTTGCCATCCTTGCTCCTAAGGAGCATTCTGGCTGTACTTCTCCCAAGACAGATTAATTTGTTCTTCAGGTACTCCACAGTATATTCAATATTCTTCACCAACACCATAATTTAAAGGCACTAATTCTTCTTTGTTCTTCCTTATTCATTGTCCAGCTTTCACATGCATATGAGGCGACTAAAAATACCATGACCTGGTCAGGCTCACCTTAGCCCTCAAAGGGATATCTTTTGCTTTTTAACACTTTAAAGAGATCTTTTGCAGCAGATCTGCCCAGTGCAATACATCATTTGATTTCTTTTTTTTTTTTAATTTTATTTTGCTTTAGGTGAAAGTTTATGGCTCAAGTTTAGTTTCTCATTCAAAAATTTATATACACATTGTTTTGTGACATTGGTTGCAATCCCTATAACGTGACAGCACACTTTCCCTTTCTACCCCAGGTTCCCTGTGTCCATTCATACAGTTCCTGTCCCTTCCTCATTTGATTTCTTGACTGCTGCTTCCATGGGTTCCATGAATTGTGGACCCAGGTAAAATGAAATCCTTGACAACTTCAGTATTTTCTCCGTTTATCATGATATTGCTTATTGGTCCAGTTGTGAGGATTTTTGTTTTCTGTATATTGAGGTGTAATCTATACTGAAGGCTATAGTCTTCGATCTTCATCAGTAAGTGCTTCTGTTCGAATGACTGCCTCTTGGTCTATGTACAGTTTCCGCATAAGTGTTCTTGAATTCCCATTCTTTGCAATGTTACCCATAATTTGTTACGATCCACACAGTCAAATGCCTTTGCATACTCTATAAAACACAGGTAAACATCTTTCTGGTATTTTCTGCTTTCAGCCAAGATCCATCTGACATCAGCAATGATATCCTTCATTCCACAGCCTCTTCTGAATCTGGCTTGAATTTCTGGCTGTTCCCTGTTGATGTACTGCTGCAACCGTTTTTGAATTATTTTCAGCAAAATTTTACTTGCATGTGATATTAATGATATTGTTCAATAATTTCTGCATTCTGTTGGATCACCTTTCTTTGGAATGGGCACAAATATGGATCTCTTCCAGCCAGTTGGCCAGGTAGCTGTCTTCCAAATTTCTTGGCCTAAACGAGTGAGTGCATCCAGTACTGCATCCGTTTGTTGAAACATCTCCATTGGTATTCCATCAATTCCTGGAGGCTTGTTTTTCACCAATGCCTTCAGTGCAGCGTGGACTTCTTCCTTCAATGCCATTGGTTCTTGATCATATGCTACCTTCTGAAACGGTTTAATGTTGGCCAATTCTTTCTGGTCCAGTGTGTCTGTGTATTCCTTCCATCTTCTTTTGATGCTTCCTGAGTCATTCAATATTTTGCCCATAGAATCCTTCAATATTGCAAATTGAGGCTTGAATTTTTTTCTTCAGTTCTTTCGGCTTGAGAAATGCCAAGCGTGTTCTTCCCTTTTGGTTTTCTATCTCCAGGTCTTTGCACATTTCATTATAATAGTTTGTCTTCTCGAGCTGACCGTTGAAATCTCCTATTCAGCTCTATTCATTTCTTCTGTTTGCTTTAGCTACTCTGCTTTAAATCAGTAACCTGTTTAAATCAGTGATAATTTTGTAGCTTATTAAAATAATTAGCTACGCCATCCTTTGACCTGACACACTTAGTGAACTTGCAATGAAAGTAACTAACACCGCTGTAACTAGGTAGCTAAACAATTGAAAATATAAACACAGTGTGTATTTATTCACACTCTCCCGTCTATGCCATTGCTCACAGTTCTTTCTCTTCACCTGAAATATTTCTCCCTGCCTGATTAAAATCAAGGCAAAAGCACAAATGCCAATTTCCTATGAAGCCTTCCCTGATATCATCTGTCAGAATTAATCTCTCTCCCCATTCTACCCCAGAACATGTTGTTTGTATTTCCATTAGAATACATATTACATTCTTCATATATAGTTGAATGCGTATCTATTATGTCTGTTTTTCCCAGAAAATAGGAATAATGTTTTATTTATGTTCTTATTTCTTGTGGTGCCCAAAATAGTGTCCAGGAAATAAGAGGAGCTCAATAAGTCCTTGGTGAATTGATTTAAAATAGCTTTTTCTCTATCTGCTCTACGAAGGGAAATGTAATATGCCAAAAAAAAAAAAGTACCTAAGTACTTTGGTACTTTTGTATAAGTCACTAAGGGATTATATTTAATTTTTTCAAGCCTGCCTTTTTTTTTCTCTTTTGCCCAACCACATGAGACTTTCCTATGAAGTAATTCTTTTGTAAGTTATAGGGAAGCAAAACAAAGAAAGTATTATGGAAATTCTCATCTAGGAATTGAATTTCCATTTTATCTGTTCTGGATTCTAACATCACGCTGATAAATCCATTTACTTTGACAGATTTGACAGTGCTAGTAAACCCTCTTAAAACTACAGTTTAATGAATAAAATGTACCTATCAAAGCGTAAGGAGCCCTGGTTGTGCGGGGCTCAGAACATCGACTGCTAACCAGAAGGTTGGGGGTTTGAAATCACCAGCAGCTCTGAGGGAGAAAGAGAAAGATGTGGCAGTCTGCTTCTGTAGAGGTTTACAGCCTCCGAAACCCTGTGGGGTCACTATGAGTCGGAATCGACTCGACGGCAGTGGGTGTGGTTTTTTTTTTTTTTCAATTAAAGTGTATATTGTTGTTGTCC